CCGCCGGTGCCTCCAGGTCCCACTTGAGGACGCGGAAAAGTTCTGCCGTGCAAGTACTTGCTCCCTTTAACCGTCTTGGTAACAGGGCTTTCTGTTTTAGGATCCTAATACCAGCCCAAGTCAGTACCATTTCCTTTTTCAGAGAACTTTCTGGACTTGGAGGTTCGTGGCGAACCTGTGGAAAAGACAGGGAAGGTAATCCCAGTGTACAGTGAAGGAAACCAAGACCTAGGCACGGATGTTCAGTACCTTGCTAAAGGTCATACAGGGCCAAGGAGCAGGACTCAGATCCCTTAATTATCTGGTCTGTATCACCCTCAACACGATTTCCAGGGCGGATGGGATGATTATACGCAGAACCTATCCCGTGCACATGCTCAATGGCGACGTGTTGACTGGAATGTAGCCTTTTATCCTTCCACTTGCTTTATATTTGCCCATAAGTGTAACAGCTAAAATAAAAGTTCTTGTTTAGAGAATGAACTTAGGAAAATCAACACCTTTCATGTTGAGTGCTTTGAGAGGACACTGTCGTTGTAACAGGTCTGTAAAGCTCACCCCCAAGTCACCTTATGTGCAAGCCAACTACATTGAACAGTTCATTTTTTAAAAAGCATTTATACAGTTTTTTACTGTGTGCTAGCTTTATACATAGAAGTCACTGGGTGACACAAATGGTTAACTCCTAGACTACTTTGACGGTTGACACTTACCTGGAGGCCTCTCAGAAAACAAGCCTGCCAGTCGCTGCTTACTAAAGATCACAGCCTTGAAAATTGTATGGAGCAGTTATACTCTGCACACACGGGGTTGCCATGTGGGGGGATCGACTGGTCAACAGCAGCAGCTTTATGTATATTGTCTCATTTCATTCTCACTCCTATTATTCACTTTTACAGTTTAAAAAACTGAGATTTAGGATAAGTAACATTGCCCAGGTTTTACATCTACTAAATGTGACTGGTTTCTGTCAAAGGTTTTGTGGTCTAATAGGGTAGATAGATGAATGTAACTATAAATCAAAATAAAACGGGTATGTAATAAGAAAGACGCGAGGTTAAAGTCAAGGGAAAGATTACAAATGAGGATAGTATTGGAGATAGGCTTAGGAAGGATAGGTAAGATCCAGTTGGAGGAGAGGAAGGGCTTGTTTGGCTAGAGGGCATAGAGCCTGGGAGAGAAGTGATCCATTTGCCTAAAGAAACTTGTTGAAGGGTATGTTAAGTTGAACCTGAGGAGGGTTTTGCATGACAGGCTGAGCAAATCAAACCCTATTCTGTTCATAAGGAGACCCTGGGTGGCACAAAGGGTTAAGCTCTCAGCTGCTAACCGAAAGGTTGGCAGTTGGAATCCACTCAGAGGCACCTCAGCAGAAAGGTCTGGTGATCACCTTCTGAAAGATCACAGCCATTGAAGGCCCTATGGAGTCTACTCTGAAATACACGGGGTCTTCATGAATCAGAATCAACAACAACTGTTTTTTGTTTTGTTTTCTATTTATAAAGAGAAGACACTGACATTTTTTGTGCACACCCAAATATGATTGAATAAAATAAACCTGGCAGCAAAATGTAAGATGAATAGAGGTAATATACAAGGGTGGATTGGATGGAATGGAAAAGGGCATCAACTTGACTAGTGACTGGATGTGGGCTCCAAGATAAAAATGGGGAAAGTTTTGATGGAGAAGATAATGACTTCAATTTCGAATCCCTTAACTTTTATTGCCACGAACTCCTGATAGAGCAGTCAAGCAGATAGTTAAAATGCATAACTGAAAAGGTAAAGACATCAAAAATGGAGTTAATTTGAGTATCATTTGCATAGAGGTGATAGATAGTTGAGGTTCTAGGATTGGATGAATTTGTCATTCTGAGTTATAGCAGCTTTCCAACTGTATCTTCCAATGATGGAGATGTTTATTCACCAGTTTACCTAATTTGGAGCATGTTATACTTGCTAATATTAATAGGCTATAAGGAATTTGACACCTGTTTCTCTTATCTTTTTAAAATTATTGTGGAAACAGATATGGGAAAGCAGTACCACCAAAAGGAGTGATGCTCAACCACCTCATGAGAAATCTGGATGTTAGTGCACATTCCTGGGGACATCCAATTGGAAAAGACACACCGACCCCTGAGATCAGACTTTCATCCACTTAATACCTCTGTCTGCCTGAACTGTTAAAACCTGTCTCAGCTAACCACGAATGGCTACTCAAAGGAAACATTTGGTGAAAGATTTCAATCCTTACATCACCTGCTATATTTGTAAAGGGTATTTGATCAAGCCAACCACGGTGACAGAATGCCTCCATACCTGTGAGTATTCTTTTATGACATCTACACATCAATACTTACTCTTTAAAAACTGTGATATTTTGTGTCTTTGTGGTTTTAACTTTTAAAACAATCAGTATTCCAAGAATTATCTTTGTTTAAATTAATTTTCAGATTTGTCCTTGTGACACCAATGGCATAAATTTTTTTTGCTATTATTTCAATCTGAATAAATCTTAGGAAAAGTCTTATAAATTAGACTTACCTGATTTATAAAATGTTCTAAAAATTATAAACATATTACAGGGTATGATGTTTTTTTAAAGTGGACTATTTTAAGTTTTTGATTTTAAAAGTATATTGAAGGAATGAATCTGCTCAGAGGTTTTGTAAGGATATGCATACTTTAATTCAGTGGTTCTTATAGGGTGGTCCCTAGACCAGAAGCATCGGCATCAGAACTTGTTTGGAATGCAAGTTATCAGGCCCCACCCCCAATTTATGAAGCCACTGGATGGTGCCAGGTGTTACACGTTACATACTCGACTGCTAGCCAAAGGGTTGGGGATTAAACCCACCCAGCAGCACCTAGTGATCTGTTTCCAAAAGGTCACAGCCTTGAAAACTATGGTGCCATTCTACTCTGCACACATGGAGTCACCATGAGTCAGAATTGGCTCAAAGGCAACTGACAGCAACAACACCCCAGACTTACTGAATCAGGAATTGTGAGAATCACTGTTCTAATATTACCATATTTTTGAAATTCCTAACACATTTCATCCCCACCTAACCCATCAGAAGAGGAGGAGATACTAATTTACTTCCATAAAGATACTGCCTTAGAAACCCAACGAGGGGTCACTATGAGTCAGAAATGACTCGATGGCAGTGAGTTTGGGTGGGTTTTTTTGTTTGTTTGTTTTTTGATCTATGCCAAAATTACACATATTTGTTTGTATTTCTTCCAGTATTATTTCTTTCTTATTTCACTGAAAGTTCTAGTAAGTTCTCATTTAACGCACTAAAGTAGATGGTTTATACACTTGTTCTCAGTTTTACAGTACTCTTGGACTAGTTTGGAGTGGACTTGAGAAGGAAGAGAGGGTATAGAGATTATCCCATTTGATGGTTGTAGAAACTAAGGTGAAGTAACTTCCCCAGTCTCTCAGCTAAGGTGTGATGGAGCAGTAGTCAGCTGCAAAGCCCGTGCTTTTCTAATATAACACAGTACCCTTTTTTGGGTAAATCTTCCTTCAACTTTTCTCTCTCTGCTGAACTGATACTTCTTTACCAGCAGTTTTAAACAGTGGTGCAAAATAGAATCACCTGGAAAGCTGTTTAAACATATACATGATCAAGACCTCCCCTGGGAAGATTTGGTGAGTCTTGTGATAACAGCTGGCCCTGTGTATTTTGAGAAATCTCCCCCAAGTGACACTGATGCATGAGTACTTTTGGGTACAGTCGGTCCCAGTCGGTCCCCCGATTAAGAATGTCAGACTTAGAAAAAAGTTCTTACTTAAGAATGGACTGCCGTAAAATCCTATTGTATTAAAAATTTGAGTTAAATACATGATTTGTAATAACTAACTTAAGCATTTTGTGAGGCTTGTGAAAACAATGTGTGGCTTGTGCCTGGAGGAAAGAGAAAACACTGTTGGCCTTTTTAATAAGATCGTGTTGCTGTTAACACTGTGTTGAGTGTGTAACTTTGTATTTGGCTTACATTTTCCTCCTATTTACCTTTATAACCATGCTTCCAAAGCATAAATCCAAACAAAGTGCTGGGGACACAGCAAAGAAGAGGAAAACAATCACAAATGAAAATAAAGTGCAAATAACGTCCATAAATCAAATATTCTACACCCAGGCACTTACTGTACTGTATTATTATAGCAACGACGTACTGTATTATTATGCTCAAGATGTTTTAGTGTATTGGGGAGTGTTTAAGTGTTTTATATGCTTAGAAATGTAAAGTATGTACTATATACTAAGACGAACATTTGACTAATCGATGCTAAGTAAGAGCTGTATGCACCCATTCCGACTTACCTACGTATTTGACTTAGGAACAGATTTTGTTCGTAATCTGGGGACTGCTTGTATTACTGACCCATACTATTTAATTAGCAATTAATTATGAACTGTCTTTCATTATTAATTTGATATTGCCCTATATCATTATTTAATGTTAACAGAAACATTGTTATGTTATTCTAGTCATAGTGGCTACAGGAGTGAACAGAATAGCCAAAAATTTCCATTCTCAGAAGTTTACATTCTAGTGGAGGGAGATTAATAATAAGGAAATACAGGTCATGTTAGATAGTGATATCTAAAGAGGAGGAACGAAGAAGAATTATAGATTTTAAAAAGGGGGTTATTTTACATAGAGTTGTCAGGATCCATGTATTTGACATGATGATATTTGAACAGAAACCAGATGGGATTGAGCCCTATGAATGTTGGAGGAAGAGCATTCTAGACAGTGGAAATAGCAAGTATACAAAGCACCAAGGTCACAATATGCTTGGCAAGTTCAAGCTCAAGGAACAGTAGCCAGTTAGAAGGCTACATCTAGGCTAGTTGATGTGAGATGGAGATGGTGGAGAGTGCTTGGATTGTGGGGCTTTGGAGGAAGAGCCAACAAGATGTGGCTGCTCTGCAGTGGGGACCTCACTTGTGCTTCATGTTTCCCACTGCTCCAAGCGTGGTACCTGGACGTGCTCCACACACTGGTTTGTTTTACTTCTAATATTTGTGCATTGTCTGGGTATTTGGCTCTCTCCTGCAGAAACTGCCAACTCTGTTTGGAAGATGAAAAGAAAGCACAAATTCTCCAATTTCTTCCTATATACTACAAATCTTATATATCTTCTTCTTTAAGAAGATTTTCTTTGGGCGATAATAAAATCCCATTTAAATGCCATTTGTTGGGAGAAAAAACAAAAAAGTCCAGAACTATAAACAATCAATTTCCAAGCAAGGGTTATTTTATTTATTTATTGACTCTTTTTTTTTTTTTTTTTTTTTTTTTTTTTG